TATTGCATGACAAACAAACCAGACCCGGTGTTTAAGAGTTCACCCAGAACTCACGTTTTTGTACGATGTTAGAAGAAAGTACGCTATGAGTCGGTAAGTTGTTTTCGTAGCAAACAAAGAACTCCTACGCTTTCTATAAAGAAATTCAGGTCTTCTAGAGATGGAAACGATAATAACTGCAGTGAAACGAAGGGAAGAATGTGGGTTGAACTTTTGCCACTCCTCCACAAGTTAAGAAGTAATCTATAATAATTCCAGTAGGAACTTGTATTTCAATATGTAAATTTCATTTGTTTTTTTTTTTCTCAATTTTTATTTCTCATTCATTAAAAATAAACATAATAATAATATATTTTCGTGTAAGAAAAAGATAATAATATATAAGCTACACACACAAATATTTTACGATGATAGAGCAAGCATGAAGAGGTGTGTTCCTTATAAAAAAAAAAAAAAAAAAAAAAAGGATTTCAGAACAGCCAGGACTTTCATCACAAATAATGAACTTTACACTTCTGTGTGCAACAATATATGTTGAATAACATATGTTTATGTGTTATTCAACATATATTGTTATGCAAATTAATATACAAATAACTTAAAATTAAAGTAAAATCTGATTATTTTTGGTCACGTTTCCCTTTCCCTATTTACTCTGTGTTAAAATGATCTCGTTTAACACTGTTTCATTTAGCACTTTATCATCTAGCAACTCATGTTAAGTGGGGTCTTACTGTACACAGTATGTTTTATATGTATTAATTTCTTTAAAACAAATTTGCAAATATAAATAAAATATTTATTTATATTTGTAAATTTTAAAAAATGTTTAATCCTTTGCCTTCTGGGCATGACAAGGTGAAAGAGAAAGATGTGTTTCATTCCCATCATAGTAAGTTCTTGCTCTTACTGTTTTGACTATTTAAATATCAATACTTTCTAAATTATAATTTATTATATATCTTTATCTTACCTATTCTTAAGTCTAATTCTCTTCTGACATTAACAGCATCACTTATATTCTTATTTGGTTCACCCAGATTTTGACAAGCCCTAGATATGGCTTGAGGAGTAATTTCAGAAAATCTAGCTCTAAATACTTGAATATGTGGTTTTACTGAAGGAAAAAAAGACACAGAATTAATTCCAAAATATGAATTATTGTTAAGGAACTCAACCTAATAATTCTTACTATTAACAATATCTTAAAACTTAAATTTATTACTAGTTCTAAATATTACATAAAAATAATCATATGTTTTTATCTTAAAACTAAAACTTGCTTGTTCCTTACTTTTAGGCACATTTTCATCAAAAAATTAAGATTTATAGTTTCTCACAATGGAAAATTGATAACAATAAAATGAAAAATGATGCAAACAAATCATTACTCTTAATCAATAAAATGAAGTATCATTTGTTATGTGATACTTCATTGTATTTACTTAAAGAATCATTTCACATAGATATAAACTTATTTCTTCTTTCATATTATGAAAAGAGAGATGAGTTGAGTTTTTATCCATAAAATGTTTCTTGCTTAGAAAGTGCTTCATCATGATTAAGAAATTTGACAAAAATTTTTTCATCTATGTCAGGGGTGGCCAACCTGCGCCTCGTGAGCCACATGCGGCTCTTTGAAGGATTATTTGTGGCTCTCGATAGATGTACCCGAGTTTCCTTTTCATTTTTGTGTTATTATATTTTAAAAAATTATTATCGTTCCGTATGTGTTTCAAAATGTCTTTTAAATTACTAACAACAAATATGAAAGACTAAGTGCAACGTTGTAACAAATTTCATTTCCGTCCAAGTTAAGAATGATATGACTCATCGAAAACTGCGCGAACGAACATAAACAGTGGCGTAATCGTCCGTTATCGACCGACTCCAGACCGATTTTGAATTTGTAAACTGTCATTGCAACGGACAGTTGACATTGTGCTCTGGAGGAAACAATTTGTATCACTCTTGCTACGGATATAATTTGTATTCTGGAATTTTTTGCATATCTTTTTAATACGTATTTAATTGCGGCGCGCGAAAAATTTCAAATTTTGAAAAATGGCTCGGACTATCAAAGAGCTTGGCCACCCTGGATCTATGTCAAGGTTTAACATTAATTATGCTAAGCCTTGACATAGATGAAAAACTTTTTATCAAATTAATCATTTCTGTAATGCAGTTGAAATTATTCATTTCTGTAAAATTTCTATTCAGATACAAAATTATCCTAATGCAATTAATGTTGAAATTCATTGGTATTTTTTATTCATTTCTGTTTTTAAGAAAAAAATATACCGTTGAAAAATAACCTTATCTTTTTTTTAAATCATTAAAATTAAATGTATAGCAACAAGAGAATGAGGAATACAAATGCATTTCTTGTATATAAAAAGTTTTTAATTCAATAGGTCACATGTCTTTGTTGTCAAAAAATGGATTTAATACCAAAACCACAAAATAAAAATAGATAGTAAACAGCTTAACCAATGAATTTACTTGAAACATTTAAATAAATATAAAATATATTCTAATCTTTCTCTATTTTACACTTTTTTTTTTCACTTTTTCTGTATTTATTTTGAACTAATTTCTATGAATTTTATTTATATTTGTAAATTTTAAAAAATGTTTAATCCTTTGCCTTCTGGGCATGACAAGGTGAAAGAGAAAGATGTGTTTCATTCCCATCATAGTAAGTTCTTGCTCTTACTGTTTTGACTATTTAAATATCAATACTTTCTAAATTATAATTTATTATATATCTTTATCTTACCTATTCTTAAGTCTAATTCTCTTCTGACATTAACAGCATCACTTATATTCTTATTTGGTTCACCCAGATTTTGACAAGCCCTAGATATGGCTTGAGGAGTAATTTCAGAAAATCTAGCTCTAAATACTTGAATATGTGGTTTTACTGAAGGAAAAAAAGACACAGAATTAATTCCAAAATATGAATTATTGTTAAGGAACTCAACCTAATAATTCTTACTATTAACAATATCTTAAAACTTAAATTNAAACCAAACTAAAAAAAATAAATAAATTACATAAGAGTTTAAAATATTGTATATTTCTTAATCATAATATTATAGTTAACTGTAAAAACCAATCTTGAAAAATATAATCCTTGTATGACATTATATTTCAATTAAAAATAAATTCAAATCAAAGAGAGTAACTTAGAATCAAACATAAAAAATATCCTTTTTGTTAGTGGAACACAAATATTCTCTAGTGATATATGAAAAATCATGATTAACAGAATGTAATTAATCAGAATTGTAAAGAAGCTCTTAACTTTATCTTTAGAATAATTAATTATAAATACAGTAAGACCCTGCTTAACCTTGCCTCGATTAATACTGATTTGATATAACGTGGTCTGCTTGAAGCCTAAAAAAATGCTCAACATTTACAATGATTCAAATTATTGCAGCATTTCATTGATTCATATATAACATGATTATTCCCAAACATGAACCAATCAGCAAAAGGTGGCAATTGTCATAGTGCTGTACTTTCTTTAAATCTATGTTTGTTTGTTGCAATTTTGGAAAAAATATAACATAGGCAATATCAACTTGGCTTGGCAAAAATTAACTGATAAATGCATGAATGAAGTGTAGAAGAAGGTATGGCTGGAGGTATCCAAGAATTCTCAATGAGAAGAGCCTATTGCTGTATCATTAGGTTGACCAAATTGTTAACCTAATCGATTCAGCAGGACTAGGAGATGGAGACAAATAGGATATTGAGGAGTTACTGTAGGTTTCTGCTGAGAGCCTTACCAACGATGACCTTCAAGAACATGCAGAACTACGAATTCATATAAAACTGGAAAATAGTGATTCTGAAAACGAAGAACCCAAAGAATTTCTCTACAGATTTCCTTAGTAAAGTTTGGTAATGATAACCAAAATTGTTGATCAAATTGTAGCAAATGGTCCAGATTTTGAAAGAAGTGCAAAAGCAAGACAAGGTGCTTTGGATGCAATCTCTTGCTACCAACATTTGATTTAGGAAAGAAAAAACTGAATAATGAAACTACACAAATTTATCACAAAAAACAAGAATTTCAGAAGAACCAGGACCTTCATCACAAATAATGAACTTTACACTTCTATGTGCATATGTTTATGTGTTATTCAACATATATTATTATGCAAATTAATATAAAAGTAACTTAAAATTAAAGTAAAATCTGATTATTTTTGGTCACGTGTTCCCCTTTCCCTATTTACTCTGTGTTAAAATTACCTTGTTTAACACAGTTCATTTAGCTCTTTGTCATCTAGAAACATATCCCCCGTGTTAAGCGGGCTCTTACTCTATATTACAAATATTCTCACATCTTCTCTGAATGAATGCTTTCTAATGTAGCCCAAAATTGGCTGATTGCAGACTTATCACACCTTGTAGGTTGATGAAACAGAGTCAGAGATCAACTTTAAAATTATACACTTTATTAGTATTGGAAATGCATTTATAACTCATAGTCCCTCATCAGGCCAAACAGCAAGATGACTATAACTGGAATTTCTGATATACACATATATTTACATACATAACATGATCTTGCTCTCAACCAAATCATTAGCCAAAGACTGTACTTTTACATTCTGAATAACAATTTTAAATCAGCAATAACACAAGTAAAAAATTAATTGTATACAATAGTTAAAACATTAATTAATTAAAAATAAATAAATAGAATTCTAAAACAAAAAACTGTTTTTATTTCTCTGTTACTGTTAAAAATGGAATAGAATTTTCCCATAGATGTGCATTACATTTTTAACACCATCTACAGGAGATCGTATGTGTAATCAAACAGACCAGTATAATATGTACTGTTAATAAAATAAGTCCTTTGTAAACATTTTGCATACTAATCTATACAATAAGGAAACTGTGGCATATGAATTAAATCGCCATACAATTTATAGTGACAAAAATCTTACATTTATAACAAAGTAAATTAATATAGTTACTTTTTCACCATTAATATCAATTTCTGCTATTGTTTCCTGTCCTTCAGCATCTTTGGAAAGGGAAGCCAGAAAATGTCTTACTATAAATTCATACAATCTTGCTTCATTTCCCTGAAATTAAAAAATTCTTTCATTTTAATTTTAATCATTTGTTTAATAAATACAATTTAATATAAAATTTAAAAATCAAAATAAACTTTAATAAATAATTTAAATAAAATACTACTTAAAATTAGATATAAATAATTAACTTAATTATAAAAACTAAATAATAATTTTAGGAAATATTTTCAATAAAATATTTTAAAATATTTCTCTATTTCTTTTTTATAACACTTTATTAAATTAGATTACAGTTTTGTATAACTTTTAATATTAGTGCAGTGAAATATTATTTCATGAAGCAAATTTACCTGCAAGTTTTTAGCATATTTTGTAGGATGAATTGGAGGATGGGCATTATCAGTTTTATTTCCCTGTCTTGGATTAGGACCATCATTTAAAACTCTACTAGCAAATCCTATTTTTAAAAAATTTACATGAAATTCAAATAATATGTTTTAATTTAAAAAATAAATAAAATTGTAAAGTTTGTATGTTTATATAAAATATTTTATTAATTAAAATTACAAGAAAAAATCCAAAACACTTAAATATAAACAACAGTAAGTTTTATTGTGATTACATTCTTTAAATTGTTATTATTGATCAGATTACAATTTTTACTTGATTATAATAATCAGGTAAAAGATAATGAAATAAATGTAAGAATATTTTCTAATGGGATAAGAGAGAAGCGAAAAAATAAAGTTTACTTAATTTTGAAGGAAATACAAATATAGACAATTTAAAATTATTTTTTTACCTCCCCAATTTGGATCTTGAACTTGCATTTCTACAAGTGATCCTAGATTAATGTCTTTAGGAAATTTATTAGTTTCTGTACGGGGATAACTGATGTATCCTTGCGTATAAAGCCTTTCTGCTATGTGCATAGTTTCTTTTGCGTTCATACGTAATTTCCTCGATGCCAATTTTTCTAATTCCTATATATGGTTATTTTTAAGCAGTTATAAAAATAAAAACTAAAATACAAATTAAAATTTTGTAATAGAGAATACTTACAACAGTGTCTAATGGCAAAGGTCGCCACTTGCTTTTAGGCTTAGTTTTTAAATCTGTGACGTGAGCAGTTGGGTTCTATAGAAATATCATAAATTAAAAAACAAAGTAAATTATTAACAATTATCATTAAAATAATAGAGAAGATAAACAACTCAACACTTTACTTACTTAAAGATTTAGTATAGTCTGCACAATGAAAGAGTAGTTATGAGTCAGCCTGAGCTGGAAAGATCTTTGAAGAGGAGGGAGACATGTAAAAGTTAACACATGGATACAATTTCTTTCAAGTGTTTTGTTTTTACATTTTCAAAGTATTTTTATATGAACTGTATCATAAATAATTTTATCATTTTACTTTTTTTTACAAATTTAATTACACTGATCCATGTGTTAACTCCCACGTCTCCTTCCACCTCTTTATCTGATAAAGATCCTTCCCATCAGACTGACTCATGTTTACACTTTCACTGCACGAATTATAATATAAATTTTATAAAAGCAGTGCATGTTATTTATTACTGAAATGTTATTTAAAAATATATACCTATTTTCAATAAACACATTGTTTATAAACAATTAATCTATATATATAAAAATGAATATATGTCTGTCTTATGTCCTTCATGCATTATCACACCGTTTATCCGATTGCCATGAAACTTTGGGAAGTTGTTTAATATACTCCTGCGAAGGTTTCTGGCATAGTATGATTGCCACGAAGCTTTGGAAAGTTTTTTAATACACTCCCGCAAAGGTTCCTGGCATTTATCCTACGATAGATGGCACGCGTTTACACGAGCATTCGAGCACTGTGTGTTCGATCAATTTCAAATTGTGAAGATTATTTCCTCCCTTTAAAAAATATCTCTATATACGCATTTGCGAACTGTTATTTACGATATTTGTAATAATTTTTGTTTAATCACTTTATTTCAACTTCTTTTTGCTAATTACGTATTCGCTCGAACTTCGTTAAAACCTTAACTGAACCCCAAACAACGACCAAAGTTGTGGGAAGAAATTCGCATATTTTACCAATCTAGGTATCCTCCCTTTTCAAAATTTTAATATCGACTCAAAATAATTTTAAAAAATAATTTACAATAAAACAGTTTATTATCCAACTATCAGAAATTTCACAACACGCCAAGGAAGAGAGGAAGGAGCAATTAAATAATTAAAATTGTAAAGGATTAAAAAAATATATATAAAAATGGGGAATATTGTGCTTCTGACAATCGCTGCAAGTGTATGGGCTAGATTTAGAGAATCCGTGCTTCTCGCGTGGACAACTGTATGTGGCTGGCTCACGCGTTGGAAAACCTTCTGATTTATTCATGTACGCACCAGATGGAAAAACAAAAAATATCGTGTATCCACAAGCACTCCAATAAATAAATAGAATTGAAACCACACTTTGAAATGTTTTTCCAATGAAAATGAATAATAATAATAAGTTTTAATAAAGATAATAAAATGTAAATTGAATTTTATCATAACGAGTTTGCTTGAATTTCCTTTCTTCTGAGATCGCAGCAATGCACGACGGGTAAGCTAGTATAATAATATTAATTGATTATAAACAATATGGTTTAAAACAAACAATTTACAGGATATTCTTATTGAATATTTTCTCATAAGGTTGGAAAAATCATTCAAATAATGCAGTTCTTTAATAATTGAATCAACTTTAAGTACTTATGACAAATATAATAAGACATACCAAAGTTAGTTATAAAATTTTTCAACAGATTTTATTTTTGAAAAATGATTCAAGTTTTGTGTAAAAATTCCAGTATGTGTAAAAATTCTAAGAATTTGTCAATTTATTTAACAAATTCAAATTTTTACTTTTGAATCACTGTTATGACTTATAATCTATTAGAATTAATTATCAAATTAGACAAAATATCAATAATTAAAGTTTTATTTTTATAGAAGTTCAGAATTTGTTAAAGAATTCAAATGCTTTCCTTCAATAATATAAAATTAATTGTTTTAAAAAATTATATTTATATTTAAACTTACTTCTAAGCAAATCTGATAAATTACAAGGCAAGCAGTATGATCAAAAAGACGTCCTCTTTTCCAAGTAAAGTCTGCTTGGGTTCCATTTTTTAAATGTGTAACTAGAATAGATTAATATTGAAAATTAAAAATAATTAAAACCATTTTAAATTTTAGTCTTAAAAGTATTAACTGAAAACTATTTTATTAAATTAATTTTTTAACTATGTTAAATATTTTTACTACTATGTAAATTTTACATTTCTAAGGATAATTTACATTTGATTTTCAATGTAGTTATTTTTATTTCATTGTACTGTTCTGCCTATTTAATAAGCAATCACATGCAGTTTTTTTTTACAGGATCATGTGCATAAGGTTACAATTTTCCATAAATTTTCATGCTAATTATGGTGCATGTAATTGCCATTCCTTGAATTTGACAATTCTGAAAACCTGTAATGTGTTTTCTCTGCAAATGCCATTGTATCTCATACATTTTTCAGTTTATGAGATACTGTTTTGTTTATAGAACATCCTTGACCAGGCTTTCATAGAGAGTCCTTCAAACTTCAAGATAGCACGGGTTAATGTGAAACACTGGAAATAAATGATGGGAGGGTTAAGATGCTTCTCAGAAGGGCCAGAAAAAATTTTTGTATTTTTCAGGCATAAAATAAACCCATGAAATATTTAAATTGAAGGTCATCTTACAGAGGCAGATCACTTTAGGCTATCTTACAGAGACATGCATTCAAGGTCTTAGTGACTTGCAAACCACATCATTACATCATGCTTAGCTGAAAAACATCCATAGTGTCCATTTTCTTCGTTACATTATCCAACACCTTTCAACATTAAAATTCCAAACAAATATCCATAAAAGCTCTTATAGCTGAAACTATTGTACATCGTTTCCATTCTCTCAGTTAGAATAAAGAGGAAGATTCTCTGACATCTAAACGACAGTAAAATACTCAAAGCCGGCAGTCATTAACCAGTGACTCTTTTATCGGTCCCAAGGTATACAGTTTACCTGACTAATACTTACCTCTAGCTACCTCTTATGGTGATTGTAAGAGACCTCCATGAGATCATTTTTGATGACATTAGGGCACTAACAATGACATCAATACAGAAAATTACTGTATTACACATGCAATCATGTGACAGTAAAGAAAAATTGTACACAATGGCATGTGTAAGACAGTGATTTTTAGTAGCAGTTTTCTGAGATCCTGTGATAAGTGGAAAAAAATTTTTTTGACTGAAATTTTTAGTCAGATAGATATCATATTTCATGAGAATATCATTGAAGTAGGGCTAAGTAACTCAATTTGGTGAAAAATGCCCACAAAAAAAAACTAGTAGGTGCAAAAAAATCACTGCTACACAGCATGTGAATTTTTTTTGGTACAGTTTAATACTTCTATAACCATATAATAACCATACTGGTATTTCTCTTATTATTCACATTTACATTTATGTTGATGTTGAAATTAAAGTTATTCTAATGTTAATCAAAAAGGTACATTAGGTTATTTTACCTGTTTAATAATATAATCAGTTCTTTACATTATCAGTTTATAATTCTATCAAATTATTAAAATTCATATGTATTATTACTATATTAATGATCCTTAGTCAGAATTGATTCATCTTTATATAATAATCCAATGATCGCCTAAATATTCGAGCTATAATATGGCTATAAACAAATAATTAATACAAACAAATTTGGTACTAGAGGTAAGTGCTAAGCACCATCTCATATCTAAATTAATAATTTAATAAATAATTTAGAACCTTCTGGAAGAAAATAACTGACCTGGGGCGGGGCTTGAACCCACAGCCTCCACTTGTCATGTGGTACACTATCAATTGCGCAACCTGGACCCAAGCCAGCCTTTGCTTCCAGAAGTATTTAAATTTCGATATAACCTTCCACAGTTACTAACATCACTGGCTGGCTGGCTGGCTAGCTGGAGATGACTTTTATGTCAATGGCCAATGAACCTATCATTGGTCGTTGTTCATTGGCCAATGACATAGTAGTTGTCTCCAGCCAGTGCCGTTAGTAACCGTGGAAGGTTATACAGTAGAACCTCGAAAACTCGACCTAATGTGGACCGAAGGGTGGCCAAGTTTGTGAAAATGCCGAGTTATCGGGAATGGGGTTAAAAAAAATAAGTACGAGTATTTCCTCAGAAAATACTGTACTGTACTTGTACAGTATTTACTTGTACAGAATATAACAGAGAATAAACTGCCCAAATACCCTTAAACAAAGGAAAAGTACGTCCTTTATGAAGGCATAGAGCCACTACATGAAAATGAAAATTAATGAATACACTGTGTACAGTAATTTACCTGATAAGACAGACCTCAGAAAAATACTTTATGAGAGCTTTTATACTTTTATAAAGCTGTCTATAATGAAAATTAATTAACTAAGGATTTTTTCGCCCTGCCAAGGTGTGGACCAGTTATCCGGAGTGCTAAGTTATCAAGGGACGAGTTTTCGAGGTTCTACTGTATTAAAATTTAGATACTTTTGGAAGCAAAGGCTGGCTTCGGGTCCAAGTGGCACAACTGGTAGTGCACCACACGATAGGTGGAGGCTGCGGGTTCAAGCCCACCCCAGATCAGTTATTTTCTTCCAGAAGGTTCTAAATTACTTATTAAATTATCAAAATTATAATTATTGATTTAGATATGAGATGGTGCCTAGCATTTACCTCTAGTACCAAATTTGTTTGTATTAATTATTTGTTTATAGCCATATTATAGCCCGAATATTTAGGTGATCATTAAATTATTATATTAACTCATCGGGTTTTGAGATGTGTATTATACGATTCATTTTTTTTTAAAGTAACTTACAAAATTTATCATACAATTTCATGGCATTAAACCATTGATACATCATACCAGAAATAAGTTTTTTGCATCTAAATATGTATCTGATATTGTTTTAATAAAATTTCAATTATTTTCCAATATAAATTAGGTTAGATTAATCAATTTTTGAAAATAAATTTGGATTTTAATATGAACTATGTCATCTCTTATCATCTTTAATAACATTTTCCTAAAATTTAACTAATGCATATATAACACAGTAGTAAAGAAACTAAAACTGTCAAATCAAGCAAACTGATTTTAATAAATCAGATGCCTATTTCTAATGTAACACATCAATATACATCAATTCTTTTAACTTTTTCAAGTTTTATCTACTTTTTAAATGATAATGTTTCAAAGTATTAAATAATGCTAAAATGCATCTACTAGTTAATAAAAATGTCTTCTGTATAATTTCATGTTAAATGATAAAATTTCAAATGCATTACCAAAATTTTATCATCAAAATAAAATTTGGAATTTTTTAATAATGTATTTTATATAGAAAATTTCATTTCTTGACACGTTTTTAATTAAATAATGAAACAAAAAACTATTTACCTTTAATTTTCCAAAATGGTTCTGCAATAAATGACTGTACTTGCTTATATCGTTCAACTACAAAGCCAAGAGTTGGAAACTGGCAGCTTCCATAACTTATTAGTTGATTTTGAAGAGATTCTGGAAAAACTTTCTTCAGCCTCAGAGTTTGAAATCTTGTGAAGGCAGCACCTATCAAAATATTCCAATAAAGTAAAACAAAAAAATTCTTTAAAAAATTGATGTTCAAACTAAAAACATATTGATAAAATTTATACCACAGAGCATTCACAAATTTGTAGATTCATATAAATTTTAAAGAATGTAAGTTACTCTTCTAAAGTCATTTTATAAGGAAAATTGAGTCTATAATTTAAAAATTAAATAAATTATATAATGATGATTAAAAACCGATACAGTGGAAACTTGATCATTCAAACTTGATGGAATCATGGGTGTTTTGGATAAACAAAATTTCAGATAATCCAAAAATTTGTTTGATTTTGTTTTGAGTACATCAAGTACTAAGCATTTAAAGTGTATCAACAGTAAATATTGTAATGCAATTACTGTATTTGAAAGTAAATTAATTTACTCAAAATTTAACATAATGTTACATATTTGGTCTAGTTTCACAGCACTACAATCCACAGATGACATAGTAATTTCCTGTTACATGGAGAGTTTTTGGTCTCTATATATTATATGTTTCTGAGACAATTTTGCATATCAATATTAAGACATTAATTTCTATTGCTGGATAGTCCAGATAAAGAGAGGAAGGACTTGATTATCCTTAAATAAAAGTGAAGCAAATAACAAAAGATATTTTTATATTGCCAATCAAAAGGCAATAAGAAAATATCTTAAATCATAGTTTTACTGCTGCTTTTTGACAGAGATATTTAAAGCTTTTATGTAATATTTTTAAAATCCTTTCTGTTATATAAGGAAATATTTTTAACCAATTGTCAAATAATGCATGTGGGTGCTTTGCAGCTGGTGGACACAATGATGTCTAGACATTTTAAATATTTGTTTTGAAAGTTATATTATGTGTTGTAGTTTAATTTTATTACTATGAACACTAGTCTGAATACTAGTCCACTAGTCCAAACATCACTAATCCAAACATGTTTCAATCAGTGGAGAGGAAATTTTTTAGCTCGCAAAATATAATTTTTTGTATTTTCCAGTTGAATTTAAATGGTATTAATGGTACAAAAAGATTTGCAATCCCACAACAAAAAAAAAATTGTATTTTATTGTAGTACTGTATTAATACTGTACAAAATTAATAAATCATGTTTGACATAACCTATTAAAACAGCAGATCTATACAGTATTTACACACAAAAACAGAAAAAAAAGTCATTGAAGGTGTTGGATCTATATAAACCAGACCTGTTTTACCGCTTGCATCTGCATTATTTCAGTTATTTCGCTAATCTGAAAATCTGCTAATCCGAACAGGATTCAGTCCCAATTAGTTCAAACTAGTGGGACTCTACTGTATTGTTATTATTTTGTATTTTTTCAGTGTGCAGAGTGTACTAGTGTGAAAAAGTACTGTAAAACCCTGCACATACACTTATATAGTTTTTATACTAAACCAAACAATCACCATAAATAATTGGGCTATTATTTTATTATTATCAATAATTAGATAAGAAAATAGACTGGTTTAGTATCAATACATCATGCTTTGGGATGTTTATTATATTTACTTATATATCTATATATAAAACTTATGTTTATGTAAAAATGCAAACTGGAGATTAAAAGAATTTATCTAATTCTATGGATAATGATCATGGTAAGTTTCAAATAACTTAACAGCTGGTTTGCTACACTAGTGACTGTTTTATGCATAAAAACTATATAAGTAAATATAATAAACATCCCAAAGCCTGATGTATTTATATACAGTGGGTGATCGGTTAATGAACATAATCCGTTCCAATACTTTGTTCGCTATCCGAATTGTTCATTAACCGATTATCGATTTACCATAGGTTTGTATGGGAATTTGATTAATTCATTCTGGAGACCCCAAAAAATAAAAAATACATTCATTTATATGTAATAATAAAAAACATATATACACAGTCTTGCATTTTTATTACTTATGTTTTTTTGTTTGTGGGTTAAAAAATCTGTCTAATGTCGATTGCTTTTCTCTCTTCTTCAGGATTTTCATAAGTAATTAATAGCATTGTAATTGTAGAGATCCCCAAGCCTATTAACCTCAACCTGGTTTGTATGCCATTCTAAGACCGTTGATACAACATTGCCCACTTCTTCAAAAGATCTTTAATAGCAGATATCAGCATTAATTCTTTTTTCCATAATAAATCATATCTCGCCCAGTTTCTTGGTGTTCTTCATTCAAGAGCTCTTATGTCATCAGATCATTTTCAGGTTCCATTATGAGCTCTTCAATGTTCTTTATTTCTCACAAGTGATTTGTGTTACTCCTTTAGCTGCTTGAGTCTTCTTGATTATACTGTATCTTTCTTAGATAAGATTGAACTGCACCCCACTGTAGATTTGTTCAAGCCATACTGCCCAGCAACATCAGACATCTACCGCCCACTTTCTACCTTTTCTATTTTACCTATAGAAAATAAAACTTGATGCAAAACTTAACAAGTGTCCGCCCAACAGTCTCGCAAATACTATAAAAGAATTGTTTCTGTCAGAAAAATAAAAGGCTGGTATTACAAGGGAGAATTTCAAAGTTTGAAGAAATACTATCTGATCAGTATATTCCGGGTTGAGCGTCAATGTCAACATCTCCAGTGCTCCAAAAAGTTTTGAGTTGTTACCTGAAGATGAGGGAAAATCAATCGGTATTTGCTATTTTCGTTGCTTTTTTTTATGCTTGTTCAGTGAAGTGTTCTTTATCTGAACATGCATTTGTTGTCCAATCATAAAAATCATTCACAAAAGTGGTCGTTATCCGATTTGTTCATTAACCGATCTGTTCGTTAACCAATCACCCACTATATATATATATATACAACTTTTGTTTCAAGGTTTACATTAAGATATGATATTTGGAACCTTCCGTACATTTCTATATTCAACGGTTGACTCAACAGTGAATTTTCTGTTGACGCCCTTTGTTGAATGATCTGACGTCACGTTTTGCAGAAAAAAGAAATGCTTTCATTGAGAAGTCGCTTTTCAAGATGACTGACTTAAGTAACGAGAAAGTGGCGATTGTGAATGTTTTGCTAAATAATTAAAGTAACTCACTTAACCATTATTCGAATAAATCCTTTTATTCAAATGAACCCCTGTCTGTATCATTTTCTTGTGTACTGGCTCTCTCCTTAATAATTTTAATTAATTTCTTGAATATTTATATCATTAGAAAGACTTAGAGGGCCAAATATCGGTTGTAATCAATTTCAGATAAATGAAAAAATCTTAATATTTCAATATTGACCAAATTATCCAACATAATCGTGCAATCACATGTTTTATCATATACAGATCGTTCATTAATCTATCCACTATTATAGCACCCACAGCAGTGAATGGATAGTTTCTATAAGCGAAATTTACTTTTTCATGGAAGCCGCCATGTTAGTTTGTTAAATACTGAATGGTCTTTCAGGTCGTTGAGACCGTTGAGCTCAACAGTGAAACAGCACTGATGTCACTAGTCTCAACGGTCCATTTAAAAGTGTTGTTCTCTCACTGTTGAGTAAACCATTGAATATAGAAACGTACGGCTTGAATACTTATATCATCAATTATTATATATTTTTTTGTCTTTTGAACACTATATAGTGTTCAAAAGACAAAAAACAATCATCCACACAGTTTCAAGAGTGAAAAATTATTATATTCTAAGGATTGCAATACAATAAACTAATCTGAATCTTCGAAATTTGATAGTAAGTGACCATATCTTTACAGAAAACAAAATTTATCTGTTAAGTTAGATTAATTTCTAGTTGTAAAGTTCTTTAGTCATATTTACAAACATTACTCAGTACACTAGTGTACTTAAGTTTATTAGTATTACTAGTATCCTTTCTCATACTGAAATAATTAGTTGTGTACCTGCAGTCCTGAAGTTTCTCAATGATATTTTTATTTTTTTATACAGAGTATAGTAAGACTCTGCTTAACACTGCCTCAATTAATGCTAATTCGATATAACTTGGTCTGCTCAAAGTCAAAATTTACACCAATTTCAAATTATTGCAGGATTTCATTGATTCATATATAACATGATTATTCCCAAACATGAACCAATCAGCAAAAAATGGCAATTTGTCATAGTGCTGTACTTTCCTTAAATCTATGTTTGTTTGTTGCAATTTTGGAAAAAATATAACATCATGAATGCCCATAGGCAATATCAACTTTGCTTGGCAAGAATTAACTGATAAATGCATGAACAAAGTGTAGAAGAAGGTATGGCTGGAGGTATCCAAGAATTCTCAACAAGAAGAGCCTATTGCTGTATCATTAGGTTGACCAAATTGTCAACCTAATCAATACGGCAGGACTAGGAGATATAGACAAATAGGATATTGAGGAGTTACTGTAGGTTTCTGCTGAGAGCCTTACCAATGATGACCTTCAAGAATGTGCAGAACTAGGAATTCATATAGAAATGGAAAATAATGATTCTGAAAACGAAGAACCCAAAGAATTTCTCTACAGATTTCCTTAGTAAAGTTTGGTAACAATAACCAAAATCGTTGATCAAATTGTAGCAAATGATCCAGATTTTGAAAGGAGTGCAAAAGCAAGACAAAATGCAATCTCTTGCATCCAAAATGCAAGAGATTGTATTTTGGATGCAATCTCTTGCTACCGACATTTGATTTAGGAAAGAAAACAAACTGACAAATGAAACTACACAAATTTATCACAAAAAAAAAAAAAAAAAAGGATTTCAGAACAGCCAGGACTTTCATCACAAATAATGAACTTTACACTTCTGTGTGCAACAATATATGTTGAATAACACATGTTTATGTGTTATTCAACATATATTGTTATGCAAATTAATATACAAATAACTTAAAATTAAAGTAAAATCTGATTATTTTTGGTCACGTTTCCCTTTCCCTATTTACTCTGTGTTAAAATGACCTCGTTTAACACTGTTTCATTTAGCACTTTATCATCTAGCAACTCATGTTAAGTGGGGTCTTACTGTACACAGTATGTTTTATATGTATTAATTTCTTTAAAACAAATTTGCAAATATAAATAAAATATTTATTTATATTTGTAAATTTTAAAAAATGTTTAATCCTTTGCCTTCTGGGCATGACAAGGTGAAAGAGAAAGATGTGTTTCATTCCCATCATAGTAAGTTCTTGCTCTTACTGTTTTGACTATTTAAATATCAATACTTTCTAAATTATAATTTATTATATATCTTTATCTTACCTATTCTTAAGTCTAATTCTCTTCTGACATTAACAGCATCACTTATATTCTTATTTGGTTCACCCAGATTTTGACAAGCCCTAGATATGGCTTGAGGAGTAATTTCAGAAAATCTAGCTCTAAATACTTGAATATGTGGTTTTACTGAAGGAAAAAAAGACACAGAATTAATTCCAAAATATGAATTATTGTTAAGGAACTCAACCTAATAATTCTTACTATTAACAATATCTTAAAACTTAAATTTATTACTAGTTCTAAATATTACATAAAAATAATCATATGTTTTTATCTTAAAACTAAAACTTGCTTGTTCCTTACTTTTAGGCACATTTTCATCAAAAAATTAAGATTTATAGTTTCTCACAATGGAAAATTGATAACAATAAAATGAAAAATGATGCAAACAAATCATTACTCTTAATCAATAAAATGAAGTATCATTTGTTATGTGATACTTCATTGTATTTACTTAAAGAATCATTTCACATAGATATAAACTTATTTCTTCTTTCATATTATGAAAAGAGAGATGAGTTGAGTTTTTATCCATAAAATGTTTCTTGCTTAGAAAGTGCTTCATCATGATTAAGAAATTTGACAAAAATTTTTTCATCTATGTCAGGGGTGGCCAACCTGCGCCTCGTGAGCCACATGCGGCTCTTTGAAGGATTATTTGTGGCTCTCGATAGATGTACCCGAGTTTCCTTTTCATTTTTGTGTTATTATATTTTAAAAAATTATTATCGTTCCGTATGTGTTTCAAAATGTCTTTTAAATTACTAACAACAAATATGAAAGACTAAGTGCAACGTTGTAACAAATTTCATTTCCGTCCAAGTTAAGAATGATATGACTCATCAAAAACTGCGCAAACGAACATAAACAGTGGCGTAATCATCCGTTATCGACCGACTCCAGACCGATTTTGAATTTGTAAACTGTCATTGCAACGGACAGTTGACATTGTGCTCTGGAGGAAACAATTTGTATCACTCTTGCTACGGATATAATTTGTATTCTGGAATTTTTTGCATATCTTTTTAATACGTATTTAATTGCGGCGCGCGAAAAATTTCAAATTTTGAAAAATGGCTCGGACTATCAAAGAGCTTGGCCACCCTGGATCTATGTCAAGGTTTAACATTAATTATGCTAAGCCTTGACATAGATGAAAAACTTTTTATCAAATTAATCATTTCTGTAATGCAGTTGAAATTATTCATTTCTGTAAAATTTCTATTCAGATACAAAATTATCCTAATGCAATTAATGTTGAAATTCATTGGTATTTTTTATTCATTTCTGTTTTTAAGAAAAAAATATACCGTTGAAAAATAACCTTATCTTTTTTTTAAATCATTAAAATTAAATGTATAGCAACAAGAGAATGAGGAATACAAATGCATTTCTTGTATATAAAAAGTTTTTAATTCAATAGGTCACATGTCTTTGTTGTCAAAAAATGGATTTAATACCAAAACCACAAAATAAAAATAGATAGTAAACAGCTTAACCAATGAATTTACTTGAAACATTTAAATAAATATAAAATATATTCTAATCTTTCTCTATTTTACACTTTTTTTTTCAATATTGAATCATATTTCTTATACTATCATCCATACAATAATAGTAATTTAACACTAAAAATAATAGGTAATTTAATTCATTTAATCAAACACTTTCAGTTTTCATTATAGTAGTTAAATTCTGCATTCAAAAGTAATTGATAACCAGAGAACTAATCTGATATGAAATTAAAGAAAACCTCATCCAACATAATACAAAAATTTCAACTTGCTAACTTTTTTAGTTTTCTTAAAAATTAACTATCTGTCAACCTTATGGATAGTTTGATAGATAGAATGAGCAATTATTTTATTGCGACATTGTCACAATGCCTGACTGCAATTTTTAATCATATTTTTTAATTTATTTAATTTAAAATATATGCTCTCCACCTTCAAATTAGTAGTGTCCTGCTCCTGTACATCATACATTTCCTTTAGCAATCAAGTTGTGTCAGTCATCTAACTCCTTTCAGGGAAATTTTTGAATTGAAATATTGCAACTTCTGGTTTGCATCGTAAGTTTGCACATAGTTAATTGAGCCTGTTGTCCTTAAGCTTTCCATATCTGGTCTCGGCTTTCATCTATCTAACTCTGTTCTCAAGATTAAGAAAGGACAGACAGACAGATGAAGGTGGAAATTTACAAATCTACAATTTTTTCAAATTGCAGCCCAAAAACAACATATATTTTTCTTTATTACTGTTTTTCTTCAACGGTTTATAATATATACATATTTATCAATAAATATAAGCTTTAAAAATTATATAACATGACTTAAAAATTGTATGGTATTAAAAAGATTATTTTCAACCTAATTTCATCCTAAAATATAATTTAGATTTAAATGAACTGGTTTATATTCCATGCTTTCATCATGTTGCCATTCTCAATTTTGCTCATTATATGCATCTGTAACCTGCAACCCTTACAATTCATCATGAATGAATGATAAAAAATGAAATTTCACCCTGACTTATAAAATAATCACAAAAGTCACAAATAGAATTCAAACCTAAATTTTTTCATAGAATATGTAAATCCAATCAAATAAATTTAAATGCATATACAAAAAAAATATGACAAAGATTTTAAATAATATAAGTTGTTCTTACCATTTCTACAAACTTCAATAATTTCAAAGCCAATATTCTCTCCTTCTCTATCACCATCTGTCCAAATAATTAATTTATTGCAATTACGAACTTCTCTTTCTAATGTTTTCTGAAAGTTGAAAATAAAGCCATTGTAAAAAAGCACTTTACCAAATTTTTCAAATTAAATCTTCTAATATTCTAAATGAATAAATTTTAGAATATCAAATTTCTTTTACTTAATTATAAAATTATTTTTTCTAAATTTAAAAATCACTTAGTTAATCAGTGTAGTGTAGTTGATCAGTGTTTAAGCTGGAAAAAATGTTCTGTAGCATTTTAGCTAATTTTACTAAAAAAGTTAGCAAAATTTTGAAAACTGCAGCTAACATTTCTCATCCATGAGGATGCCCTGAACAATACACAATTGAATTTGAGGGTTGGATTTCACGCTGATCTTTGGTTAAACAAGAGAAGAACAAATTATCACACAGCTGTTAATTACATACAAATACTACTATATTTGCAAGCGCTTTTGACGTGCTATGAAACATCATTAGGCAGAGACAAGCTCAAATAAAATTTTCAAACAAAGATTTTGAATTAAAACTAACGGCATTAGTCCTTTAGAACAAAACTAAACTTAGAACAACTAAATGTAAAGAATTTAAATTGGCATGCACATGGTTACAATGCATATGTGTTGAATAGGTGCTGAGAAGGAGCTAGAGTCGATGTTTTAATCCTTTGTACAAGCTGACCCACAAAGCAAGCAATTCAAGCATGGGAGAGTTGCACAGATTTAGTAAAATGGTAAGGAGGGCCTCCCAAACATACACCAGGCTCCTCTGATCGCAATACCTGAGCATCACCACATGGTCCCACAGCAGGGTGTGTTGTTGTTGTAACACCATCCTTGCTAGCTCAGTGTCACACCTGTCTGCCCTGATAAAATATTGGTGTTTGGAGATGCAGCAAGATAGCATTCTGGTTGTTGCTCCTATATAATGGGTGTGAATACCAGATGTGTTTTCCAATGGGATAGAGTATATCCTGGACTTCTCTAGTATGGAAGTAGCATCTCTGTCATTGTATAGCAGCCTCCTGAGATTTGGTCATGGAGTGATTGGTAGAAATAATGCATGATGTCTAAAAATATGGCAAATGCGAGCAGTGATGCAGCCACAGAATGGTAATGAGGAATGGACAATTGTGCATTCCTTTAGGATGCATAAAGTGGTGGCAAAAAAAAGAGATCTTTTAACCTTGTTCGAGATATATTTATATTTGGAATTAGTAAACCTGCCACATTTACTGCTGAGAGAATGGCAGTAAGTTCAATATTGATAGCAGTTTGTGTGGAAGGCAACAGAAAGGCCTAATTATAGGGGCTATAGCTGCATTGATGTAGTGCTGCAGATGGTATGCTCTGGCAGGGATTAAAAGGGGTATGTTGTTAAATTTATGGAACATGGAGTACATTATACCTCCCTTGGGACTTGGAGATGTTTAGATCTAAAAATGCAATTTTTTTCCCCCATTTTCTTTTTCCCAGGTAAAGTCGATAGTAGAGTAAACATTTATAAGAAGGCATTTTAGGATGAGGAAATCCTCCTCAGTGTCTTGCTAGGCTACTAAAATGTCTACATATCTCAGATATATCGATGGGTATGCTATCATGAGGGGGAAAGTAAAAACCCTTTGCTCAACGTGTCTCATGAGCAATTCTGCTAGTACGACAGACAGCAGTGAGTCCATTGCAACCTCGTTTTTGCAAGTATATTTTTCCATTGAACCGTAAATAATTGTGTTTGGTAGCACAATAGCATACACAATACATTATTGTTTAAACTTATGTTTATTCTCATAGATAGTGTACATTATTACAGTGGAATGCACTACCAATGTAACCATAAATCTATTATAACCCAGAAGCATCATACATTATTGAAAAATTCATCTTGATTTTCATTCACACCAGGCAACAAATGCTGAATAAAAATCAAATTCCCATCTCGGAGTGCTATTTATGATGTTTAACAAGTTGCTGACAGTTTCTATATCAAGACAGCTTCCAATTGAAGGTTTTGTTAATTTCATCTCACTGAAACCTCTTTCACACCCACCAGTGTGCACTGGGAATGAAAGAACAAACTCAATAACTGTTGAGATAAACTGTTAATTAATTAATTAAAATTTAAATCAAAACAATTGAAACATTATCCACACTTTCTGAAATATTAAGTATTTGTTTTCCTTCTTGATTGATTTGGTCATATTTCAACCAAGTCAGAACTGAGTCTATTATAGTACTTCCTTGTAAAGTGTTAGTTTTGGTTTGATGGAACATTTTGCTTTTAATATATATAAAAAATAAATATAAATATAGATAATATCAATATATTGTGACCTTTCGGGTCGGCACCTCTTTGGTACCCTGTCAGGATTGACACCACCGTGTTTCTCGAAACACGGAAACCGAGACAGCGATTACGTCACGCCGTCGCGCGAGCGGTCCCGTACGTGGTCAGACGGATTCGTAATGTCGATTCTAGAGACATCATTGGAAGTGACTCAGATACACTTAACAATTAACAATGGTTTATTTAAAAATCAACGGGATAAAGTGTTGTCGTGGAGAGCGAGAGTTCACATATGATTCGCAGGGTGATAAATACCTGGAGTTTGGTTGATTCTTGAATAGCTGATAATTGATAATTCAGTTCTTGACTTAATCCAAAGTTCTAGCGACGACGTTCATTCAAGTTTCTTTGGCACTTAATAAATCCTGTTGCAAATAATCCAAATAGGAAGCACAAAAAAACAAAGTCCAGTTGCTATCTGACGACTTCTATCCAGAGAAACGGCGGCAACTGACTCTTTTCGGCCGTCTCTGGTGATATTCACCGGCGATTTCGGCCATGCAAAGGTTAATAGTTCATGAGAAAGCATCATGTTGCTTTTGAGAAAATGTAACGGGAGGCTTTCTCAGGTAGCTAAGAACAACAACAATTGTTGCGTAATTCACGAAATGTTATTATTAAAGACTATTTCTAATATAGGAATTTCTGCTATCTCACATAGTACTTCCTTGTAAAGTGTTAGTTTTNTATATACCTATTTTCAATAAACACATTGTTTATAAACAATTAATCTATATATATAAAAATGAATGTATGTCTGTCTTATGTCCTTCATGCATTATCACACCGTTTATCCGATTGCCATGAAACTTTGGGAAGTTGTTTAATATACTCCTGCGAAGGTTTCTGGCATAGTATGATTGCCACGAAGCTTTGGAAAGTTTTTTAATACACTCCCGCAAAGGTTCCTGGCATTTATCCTACGATAGATGGCACGCGTTTACACAAGCATTCGAGCACTGTGTGTTCGATCAATTTCAAATTGTGAAGATTATTTCCTCCCTTTAAAAAATATCTCTATATACGCATTTGCGAACTGTTATTTACGATATTTGTAATAATTTTTGTTTAATCACTTTATTTCAACTTCTTTTTGCTAATTACGTATTCGCTCGAACTTCGTTAAAACCTTAACTGAACCCCAAACAACGACCAAAGTTGTGGGAAGAAATTCGCATATTTTACCAATCTAGGTATCCTCCCTTTTCAAAATTTTAATATCGACTCAAAATAATTTTAAAAAATAATTTACAATAAAACAGTTTATTATCCAACTATCAGAAATTTCACAACACGCCAAGGAAGAGAGGAAGGAGCAATTAAATAATTAAAATTGTAAAGGATTAAAAAAATATATATAAAAATGGGGAATATTGTGCTTCTGACAATCGCTGCAAGTGTATGGGCTAGATTTAGAGAATCCGTGCTTCTCGCGTGGACAACTGTATGTGGCTGGCTCACGCGTTGGAAAACCTTCTGATTTATTCATGTACGCACCAGACGGAAAAACAAAAAATATCGTGTATCCACAAGCACTCCAATAAATAAATAGAATTGAAACCACACTTTGAAATGTTTTTCCAATGAAAATGAATAATAATAATAAGTTTTAATAAAGATAATAAAATGTAAATTGAATTTTATCATAACGAGTTTGCTTGAATTTCCTTTCTTCTGAGATCGCAGCAATGCACGACGGGTAAGCTAGTATAATAATATTAATTGATTATAAACAATATGGTTTAAAACAAACAATTTACAGGATATTCTTATTGAATATTTTCTCATAAGGTTGGAAAAATCATTCAAATAATGCAGTTCTTTAATAATTGAATCAACTTTAAGTACTTATGACAAATATAATAAGACATACCAAAGTTAGTTATAAAATTTTTCAACAGATTTTATTTTTGAAAAATGATTCAAGTTTTGTGTAAAAATTCCAGTATGTGTAAAAATTCTAAGAATTTGTCAATTTATTTAACAAATTCAAATTTTTACTTTTGAATCACTGTTATGACTTATAATCTATTAGAATTAATTATCAAATTAGACAAAATATCAATAATTAAAGTTTTATTTTTATAGAAGTTCAGAATTTGTTAAAGAATTCAAATGCTTTCCTTCAATAATATAAAATTAATTGTTTTAAAAAATTATATTTATATTTAAACTTACTTCTAAGCAAATCTGATAAATTACAAGGCAAGCAGTATGATCAAAAAGACGTCCTCTTTTCCAAGTAAAGTCTGCTTGGGTTCCATTTTTTAAATGTGTAACTAGAATAGATTAATATTGAAAATTAAAAATAATTAAAACCATTTTAAATTTTAGTCTTAAAAGTATTAACTGAAAACTATTTTATTAAATTAATTTTTTAACTATGTTAAATATTTTTACTACTATGTAAATTTTACATTTCTAAGGATAATTTACATTTGATTTTCAATGTAGTTATTTTTATTTCATTGTACTGTTCTGCCTATTTAATAAGCAATCACATGCAGTTTTTTTTTACAGGATCATGTGCATAAGGTTACAATTTTCCATAAATTTTCATGCTAATTATGGTGCATGTAATTGCCATTCCTTGAATTTGACAATTCTGAAAACCTGTAATGTGTTTTCTCTGCAAATGCCATTGTATCTCATACATTTTTCAGTTTATGAGATACTGTTTTGTTTATAGAACATCCTTGACCAGGCT